CTCAGCTTGTCCAGTTACATGTTAGAGAGAAAGCACTTCTCTTTCACCCCCACACCAAAACTTACTTTCTTAGGAAATAGCTGAGATGATAACCTCCATCTCACTTCGTTTCATGGAGGAGAGGTGAATGGCATGCTCTACATAATGCTCCAACAGTTCCTCAGGTAATAGCAAGTGATGGAAAGGACAGTGAAGCCACATTCACCCCAACAGCATCACTTTTTTCATTACACGGGATCTCTCTCTACAAACAGTGACATTTATTGCAAAGTTACCTTGTACAGCAGGTCTTGTGGTAACAAGTATGAAAATCATTTTCACATTGCCTCAAATGATTTTATGAAAAGTACAGGTTAAGAATCTATCCAGACATTTTGAGAAACAGAAGTCAGGTAAAAATACCGTTACAAAATACGTAAGAGGTGAAACTGTTCCACAGTTCACAGGAAAGTACACCAAACATTCATGGAAAGCACAAAAAAGGGGAAAGCATCCATGTCACCACAAAAACTTAAGTTGACAGAAATTCGAAATTCGGCAGGCAACACAATCGAACTTCACTTGTTTCATTAATCAAGATAAGTTTTTCCATTGATCTGCCAAGGAAAATTTTTACCAGAATTTTCAGAAGAAGTAAAGGAAAGAATCAGGAATATTCTTCCCACTATTTAAGTTGCCGTAACCTAGTCAACCAATTTTTATTCCATTAAAAGTAGTAATACATTATAAAACTAACATTTGGCGCATAAATGTGTGTTGCTTTGCAAATGCAAAGTAGTTTTTCTTCTACTTGCTTAGCTAAAGAAAGCTAGAAGATAAACTTCATTGATTTATTTTTAAATAATCAAAGGACTGCTGTGTTGATTCATATATTCAGAGAGAATAAACCTTTTGGAACCATTTCAATGAAATTTCCATTGAATTCCAGATGTTCCAAGAGCCACAGAGGACAAATTAGGTTACATTTTCTTATACAGTAAGAATGTGTCTCCATGCAAGACAGACATCCAGCAAAAGCTTGTTTAAAAAATGTAAGTAAGTTGTCATTAGAATACGATACTGCTATCACAAAAATCACTGATATACAGTAATCTTAATAAAAACAGAACCTGGCTCTGAATTCAAAGAAAACCCACTGTGTAGCTTGTAGTTAATAATCTACCCCTTCTCCCTCCTCCCCATAAAAGGCTTTACAAAAGCTTCCCAGTCCCTGAATTGAAATCTTAGTTCTACTAGTGTTTTCAACCCTGTTTAGCCATTCTCTTTTTCCTCTTCCATATGAAAGTCTTTTGGACCATGAGCTAGCAGAGATTTGAGGCTTCCCCAGTAGTTCGCTCCTTACTTACTTTGTTTCCTTTGCTTCATTTTACTTTGTTTTTTTCAAGTCTTGTAGAAGAAGGTCATTGATGCTGTGAAATTCTAAAGCCTCGGAGAGTAAGCAAGGAGGCAAGGGCAGAGAGAGAGAAAGACCCAAGAAAACTCAAAAACAAACATCGAGAACAGTATTCATACATTTCTAAGAAAGATGAAGAACACGCCAATCAGTGTAACAGAAATTAATCTGGGTTTTTCAGAACTAGATAAAGGTAACATTAAACTAGCAGAAAGAAGGAAATATATTTCTTTTCTCTCAGACAGCTGTCCGATAGTTTCTTTAAAATGAGCTTTGCTAGCACATCGCATGTACTTCATGAACTGAAAGTCACAAAGACATTTCCATAATGAGAAGTCACACTAGAGAAAGTACCTGGCCACAAACTGGTCACCAGCAGAGTAGTCAGTACCACACTGAAAAACCATGTCGTGATGAGAAGGTCTTTCCAAAGGAAGTGGAAGGAGTGGTTTCTGAGAAGGAAAAGGGCTATTCCAGCTCTGTCCTGACTGCTGCCCAGCAAACACAGTGATCTGTTCAGCTAGCGTCTCAACAGTGGTACTGCAGGAACCAAAGATCCGGAAAAAAGCCTGCATCTCTTGGAGAGAAAAACGGACTTCCAAGATCTCCAGCCTTGGCTTCAGCAAGTGTTCCTGGCTCAGGAGGTCGGCCAGAGGGCTGAGCCCATAGAATTCTGCTTCTCTCTGCAGCCTCTGATAGTCTGAGAAATCAGTAGGTAAGGAGACCTGGAGAGTCCTCAAGAAGTCCATGATGTAACTAAACAAAGTTCCATCTCTGTCCACAAAAAACTCTCCATTCACCAGTTTAAATTCCTGGTCATCATCATTCAACATCCGTGCTAGCCTGGACTCAGGAAACTGCTGCAAGGTAGAAGCCCGGGTTACAAATCTCACACCTCCCACGCTCAGAACCACCACCTCTCGATTACTCATCACTATCTCAGCTACTCAATAGTTACAAGTCTCTGATCTGTGTGTTTGTGATCTTTCCTAAACTGCAAGGTACCTGCAAGAACCATTCAGTGCTTTTAGCAAATGTTTGGAGTGAGGTGTGGAGTAGCGACAGGATTCCCAGGCAACAAAGAAGTAAATATCATGCACAATAGTTTTGTTTGCAGGGTTTGGTTGCTTGGAAGCTTTGATTCTTGGAATTTAACGTTTTAATTTTGAAATGAACAGCCTGCAAGCACTACTGGAAGACAGTGAATTGACTATCACAACTTATTAAACCTTGACAGAGGCCAAGGAACATCCCCAAATTATGGCACGCATTACATTCGTTTCCCGGAAATGTCAACTGAATATTTTCATTCTATATATTGCTGCTCATAGGACCACTGCAACAAGAGGTTTTAGATGTGCTTCAAACAATGTATCTCAGTATCATACGCTCTTACAGAAGGGCACTTCAGAGAACCCAAGCTTACAGTTCACTTTAAATCACTGCTATCCTACAGCCAAGTCAATACACTCAGAAAATTCAATTCACTCCTGAAACAAGGTACACAAAAAGACAGTAACAGTAGAAGAGCCTATATATGTTCCAGTGCTAAAGCACTTCCAAACTCCGACAACATCCATACTCCTGTCACATTATGCACTCTGTTCCAAGGAAATCATCCCACCTTTTTCCCCAGCTCTTGGAATTACGATCTGGAGAGACAGAGAGGAAGAGGAGAGAAACTGCTCTACCTGCCACCTTTGCAGGGCTGGAGCACAAGCTGCCTTCCTGCAGCTGACTCGTGCATGAACTTTTTACTTAAAGTCCACTTTTTACGAAAGTGTGGCTTCAGAGAAACATGGATCTAACAAGACAGCTCAGATACCCCAACAATTTGATGCTGGAAAAGTAAACTGCAAAGTACGTTCTATCTGCAAAGTACGTGCTATCTTGCAGCTTGTTCTTCTCTTATCAACCTCAACTGATTTCTCTTTACCCCTAGAATTTATGCTTGCCCTGAAGATATATTTTTGTATAGAACATGTAAACAACAACGGATATCTACAGCAATCTGAATGCACAGAATAATTACAACATTTTACAAAAAAATACAAATATCTTTTTCAAGTGAGAAGTAACAACCTCAGACAGAAAGTGGTTCCAGAATGTGGACTCTGTATTTTGCAGTGGAAGGGCAGTCCTCAAGAAGGCTCTCAGTGCAGCGCTCTTCTAAATCACAACTGTCCTTCCTCTGTCCAAACCATCTGCCAGTTAGAAAAAAAATTTTTAAACTATGACGTTTCAGGAAGTGACATTTTTATCTTATTCTACAATTACACTAACATTAAACAAAGTACATGGTTTGACCCTATATTTTGGTAAGAAAAATGATTTACAATGAATAATATTCCTATAATCACCACTGAAAGAAGAATCCAGAAACAATGTGTTTTCAAAGCTCCATTTCACCTTCCAGTTTACCAATGCTCAAACTACATGAATAGTATGAATGTTTTGGAAACATTTTGAATCTTTGAATGTTTTCACCTGAAGTCTTACAAAAGCAATTAATTTTAAGAAGTTCTGTATTTTCTTCACTAGATTTCTTAGGTCTTATATTTTAGCAGGAATTTCACAACAGTTTATATTTGCACACAAACTGTGCAACATTATCCAGTACAACCAATGTATAGTTTTTACACTTTTCTCGTAGAAGTGAAGCTCCATCTGTCATCTGTTCCCAGTAAAAGACTGCATGATCTGCTATCTCCACTGTATCTGCCAAATAGGACAAGCTAATCGTAAAGAATTGAGACTTCCAGCACTGCAGATTGTCAACAACTGACTCCACAAAGGACATTCTGGTGACAGCAAGAATAAGCAAGCAAATAAGAAAGGTCACTACAAATCTGCGTGAAAAGACTGAGGGAATCTTGAATTTAAGAGTGTTGTTTTCCTGAGGCAAAGAAAGTTTGTCCACATCAACTAGTTTTATTCTATTCCACTGGCTGGTATCAAAGCTCTTCATTGTAGGGCTGATGTCCACACTGGAACAAGGTAAAGGGGTTTCTTTGAGCACCTTGATTTTTTCCCTGAACTCCTGCATCTGTTGCAGAAATATAATGGGTTCAGACACATCTTTGAAGGCCTCCGCGATGTTAAACGCCATCCGTTGCTCTTGCAGAATTGTGTTCAGTTTATTGATTTCCGGATCATAGGCCTGCATCACTGCAAGCTTCATGGTCTCAAAGTCAGAGAGAATCTCATTTCGTTTCTGCTCCAGCGTGTGCTGCAGCTTCTCAAAGAACTCCTTCACTTTGTCAGAATCTTTGGTCAGCATCTGCAGAGCTTTCCTCTTACTGGTTTCTAAGGTATCCAGCCGCGAAAGGGCATCTCCACAACGCCAAGTTTCAAAGCCCTGAAAGAGGGTTTCAAAAGCCCGCTTCTCCTGGGAATAAGCTTCTTCAATAGAACAGAAAACGTGCTTTGTATGGTCACCACGGGTGGCACAAACCCCACAGATCAGCTGCATGTCTGTCCGGCAAAAAATGTTAAGGGGTTGCCCACTGTGCACTTTGCACACAGGCATTTTTGGAGTTACTTTGATTTTGTTATATTTCTCCACGATACCTTTCAGGGAGTAGTTGACTTGCAAGCTGTTGACTCCAGTAACGGGAGTTTCCTTCCTGCATGTGGGGCACTTGAAAGGGGATGGCCTCCAAAGCACATTCCGCACGTTTCCCTCAAGAATTCCTTCCAGACACTTTCTGCAGAAATTGTGTGAACAGGGCAGGACACGAGGATCATCAAACAGGCTACAACAAATGGGACAGGTGAGATCTTCCTCCAAGAGCTCCATCATATCCTAGGAAAGAGAAGAAAGATGGTTAACAGAACGTACAAAATTTATCTCTCCTCCAGGGAAACCATGCAAAAACTGATCTCTGCCTGAGACACATCTCAGTAAGAAAAGGATCTCCTTTTTCCTCTAGTATCATTAAGACAGAGCCTCAACTGGGTTCTTGCAGCCAGTCCAGTTAGGTGTGGTATCTGGCCACCAAGTGGCAGGGACAAGAACAGCTTGGTGTCCAGGCAAAACCATTTTTGGACTCTCAACTAGAAATGCTGGAAAAGAAGGCTTGCCAAACCCAGCAAGGACTCTGAATGAAAATAGCTCATGTACTCATAATAACAGTTCAAGACTTACATCTTTCCTTACTGATGCAATACCCAGAAACTGGATTTTTACAAAAGATACCCAGCCAATACGCCCTGCTAAGATTTGATTACTCTCTGCTTGCTCAACTCATCCAAAGCTTACAGTTTCAGACCTCATGCACCACTACTCTAAGAAGGCAATATTAAAGCTGACTGAAAAAGCCCAGCTTCAGAATTTCTCGGCTACAGAATATGTGATGTGGCTCTTTGCTCTACCTGCAAAGACAAAGGGGAGTCACCACTCACTTAAAAAGCTAGCTTCATTTTCTGTGAGAAGAAAGTAATTTTGAAGCACCTCTCAATACTAAAACAACCGAAGTTTCTCTTCCGTCCTCTTCTTACTGCTAAAAAGAATGGGATGACAGGAAGAGGATGATTTTGCCCCCATACTCCTGAGTCTACCTGTTTATGAATAAGTGCTCTCTTTCCAACTTGTACTCACAGCTTTTAGCCACCGTAGCAGCACAAAGATCAGTTCTGCTCATGTGTTAAGAGGATAATAACTACAAAACTAAAAAGACAGTCTCCATTTTTTAGTAAATGGAAATTCACAGTGCAGAAAATATTTGCTCTGGTCTGTCTCCTTTACCAGGGAGGATTTTACTTCTTAGTTAGGGAGCTGGAAAAGCAGCTTTGCACGCCTGGCAGCGAGGACTGCAAACCACTGCAGAAAATGCTTACTACAACACGTTCCATCAAAATTGCAGGACAAACATTGAAGACTTTCATGCTCCTAAAAATACAAAAAACATATACAAAAAGGTTTCATGATCCAAATAAAACTGTCCTGGTGCATTCCAACCCCACTTATCCAATTAAATAATTATGCTTTATAAATATAACTGAATTTCAAAACCATTATATGACATCATTAAAACCTAGGATTTTAAAAAAAGAAATGGGCAAGTCTATGAGCTCCCCCCCCCGCCTTACAACACCACCAGTAACACCAAACCAAAAATACTGAAAACCTGTATGACTGGTTTGGACAGCTGAGCTTCTGTCTTCTTTAGGACATTAATTTCAGAGAGTAAGTTGCCTCTGGATTGAAACATCCTGTTGTATTAGCAACTTGGTATTTGTGTGAGGAACTACAACAACATTTCAACTTCTCCATTGGGAATTTCTGTGTGTAACTTCTGATCCAGGTTTGGATGGCCCTGGAATTCCCCACCCATAGCACACGGACCGAAAGGCACAGCGGTTTCTTCCTTCACCTGAGCTACATGAAACTCTCCGGGTACAAACCCAGCAGATGTCCCCCATCAGAAAGAGCAACTTGGTCAGTTTTATCATTAGGAAGAATAATAGCAAAACAAATCAAACCATAAATACAAAAACAACCACAGTAGCTTTTTCCCATGCTCCAGGGAGAAATTCATCCAGTATGCTTCTCAGCACAGAATTTGGGTTTATCAGCCAGCAACAGGCTAAAAGCAAAACAAAAATTTCACCAAACTTCAAACAAAACAAAAAGATAGCTCTTGAATGACAAGTTTCCTGCCACAGCGTGCAAGTATGCTAAACAAAACTTGACCGAGTCAGGCCACAAGCAGTTGAGCGAGTCAGGAGAGGTCTTGTCTGCCTGCCTTCGCAAGGGCCCTGATCATTCTCAGGACCTCCTATGAGCAATTTCACCAGCCTTCTGTCAGACTGGTGTGTTGAATCAGCGCAAAAAATTGGGGTCCCACACAGATAAGGCAGGAGGAAGGGGGATGGGAGCTCCTTCTCCCAGTAGCAACAATCTTAACTCTGCTCACCCGACCCAGAGGAACCGCAACCTAATGGAGGGTCAGCGTAGACATTGTAACATAGAACAACTGACCTCCAGGTGCAGGTGTCCAGACAGCCAGAAAGAGCTGAGGAAAGTGGCCATGCTTTAAACCTGCGATTTCATGGACAAAGTTTTTTTTCCACGAGTACCAGGTAGATTGAACACGTTCAGCCTTCAGAAAGCTAGAAAGTCCTGGAGAAAAAAGCAATTCTGGCTCAGCGTAGCTACAGCCCCGAGAACACCGTTTCACCGACACGCTTTGACAACCCCTCGGGCGCAGGTCGCAGGGCTGCTGCACTCGCCTCCTTGTCCCTCTGCCCAGGCGGGAGTTCCCTCACTGCTTCTGGTTACAAACCCGCTCCCGCCAGGGGTGATCCCCGACATCCGCCTAAACAACGGCGATCCTGCCAGGCCC